CAAGGTGGTGGGAAATGTGAGAATGTTTCCTAACTAGACTTACCTTGTTTGTTGGTTAATCCAGCACTGGCTGAATTGTACTGATGTTTGTTATTAATGTTTCTTTCAGATTTAATAAGATGAGAAATGTGACATTGGCCCAAATGGGAACTACTTTATAGAGTCCATTCCTTCCAAGGGCTAACTCCCTATAGCCGTGCTTGAAACAGTAACCCTTGCTTCTGCGGGGGCAAAGGGATGTCACCAGTGTGATGAGACTCCTCTCTGCAGACCTGTCCCTACTTGGAGCTCATCCTTTCTAACGGACTGAAGGAGCTGGTGCCTTTAAATTCCCCAGAAAGGGAAGAAAAAAACACTTTAGTTTCAGGTCCGTGTTCTCCATTAGACACCCTTCAGGTGTTAGCAATATTATGCCACAATTTCATTATCCATTAAAGCCAGGTAATAATAAGTACACAAAGGTATTTGGAGCCTATTGATGTTAATGAAAGAGATCAATCTAATTCGGAGTGTGTGTGTGGAGAGCTCCTTGGAGATGGGATAGGCCCCAGGGTCAGCCTCTAATCACCTCCTTGATGGTAGACCCCACCAGTACTCAATTTTGCATGACCGTCTTTATAACATAGCTGGAATTTTGACGCCCAGACGCACGCTTCATACAGAAGCCCAGTTTCCTCCTCTCCCAAGCCCCTCCCAACATTCCCAATTCAGAAAGGATGTGAAAGTTACTGCCAATAAAATAAGATCCTTGCATCCAAGTAAGCGCTGTTTGGGTCTTAACTGTGAGTTGGGCTGAGTTAGCAGACAGCCTGTGATTCCAGGAGAACTTGAGTGACCCTAGAATGATTGTGAAGGCTCTTTCTCCCTCCCTCTTTCTCCTCTCTTGTCTTCTTTTCTCTCTTTTAATCTGGTAGCACTCAGGATGACCCCTATCAAGTTCATGAGCCACATTCACTGAGAGTTTTGACAAAACTGTTTTACCCTATTTTAGACAGAAAAGTCGCAACAGAAGAAGACAGCTGGACATCCTCCTTAGAGTCTCCTGTGGGCCCAGGCCTGGCCTCAATGAATCCTTCAGTCATTCTGAGGATTTCTGTGGTTGGGCTCAGTTTAGTTATTACATCTGTCAATTCTTTTCACCCAACGCTGAGTACTCTATTTTGTTTTTACCGCTTCTCATTCTAGCCTCCTACTTTAAAAAAAAATAACAAAATAAAAACAAAAACCTCCAACACTGCCATAAAAAAATTGAACACCTGCCCTGCTGTTTCTGGGAACCAGTACCTCCAATAATGTACTGGAGGAAATCTCCCCTCCCATGGCTGCTGGATGGGGTCCCAGGCTGCACACAGACCTCCTTGTAGGGAGAATCGCCTTTCCCAAGGGCCCCCTGGAGCACGCAGCCCGACTGAATCGTCAGCTGAGCCCTCCGATAAACAATACGTGTCCTAGAGCCGGCAGATATGATTGCACATCAGCTGGAGCTAGCAGGGCATCTGGAGCATCTTATTTAGTGGAAATGGCAGCAGTGTACATCAGGCTCCAGGTGACTATGTGTGCGGAATAGATCAACATCCGCCCTGCAGGCCCCACCTATCCCCACCCCCTGCTGTGCAGCCTAGACTAGGGTACCAGATTCCGAGAGAGATGGTCCTTTGCTGGCAGGTCCAGAGATGTCATGGGATTGGTTTTAGTTCTCACATCACTGTCCAAGGGCTATTGAAGGACACCTGAGTGCCAGTGCCTCAGTTGCTATTTCATAGCTTGATGTCCCGAATGGAGTAAAATGAGTAGTGAGCTGAACCCCGGGGCACATGGCAGGAATGGGGAGGCGTGGAGAGGCAGCGAGACTGTAAACTGTGAGAGACTCCCAATCTACTTGAAGTCTTTCTAGAATTGCAGAATTCCTTCTGAGTTGGCGTCCCACTCTGCCAAGCGCGAACTGAGACTTTCCTCAGCATCCTGTGTCTACTCTGTTCCTGGGAGCCAGAGTGGAAGCCTGCCTCAGCCCAAGGGCAAAGGGAAGAGCCAGAAGAACCTTTCTTCACCTCTGCCCCTGCCTCCAGCGCTCTTGGTGTACATGCCACAAGTGGGAAGAAGCTCATAAGTGCTGGAAATGGAGAGGTGAAGAGAGCAAAGGAATGAGACCATGGGTGTGCATGTGTGTGTGTGTTGTTCACACCCATCTCCCTGCCCCTCTCTTGCCTTTGTTTGCCTCCTCCGTGCAGTGTAGGTAATGATGTGTGCAGCGTCTCAGGAGTGCTTGGTAGGTTGACTACGCTCCACCTTGCCTGTGCTCCTCCTTCACATTTCCCTTTAATGCTCTCCATTATTCGAGCTGCATTAATAATGTTTGCAGGCTGATATCTTTAAAATTAATGAGGTGTTTACTCTGAGCCAAGAAACTCATTGAAATTAAAAAAGCTTTCTCTTTTCCCCCTCTCTTTCCTTCAGTTTGGGGGTGGGGGGGAGTGGACAAACAGTCCACAGCACAAGCTTCACTAGAAAACAATGCCGAATCCTAGGCAGGGCCCCAGACTCCACCAGGAGGAAGCAGGAGCAGCAGTTACTTAATGTTGTTGTCATGTGCCATCAAGTTGCCTGAAACTCATAGCGACCCTATGTACAACAGCCCTGAAATCTGCTCGATCCTTTACCAACCTTATTGTCTCTGACATACCTAGCCCCATCATCCCAGTCACTGAATCAATTCATCTCATTGAAGGTCTTCCTCTCTTCAGCTGTACCTTCACCCTCCTGAGCATGACATCCCTCTCCAAGGACTGGTCCCTCCGTGCAACATGTCCAAAGTATGTCAGACGAAGCTTCAGAATCCTTGACTCAGAGAAACAGCCTGGCTTCACCCTCTCCAGGATAAAACTGTTCATTCTTCTGACAGTCCAATATGGTATATCCAATACTGTTCTCCAGCACCACAACTCAAAAGCATCAATTCTCCTTCCATCATCTCTAGCCATTGTCCAGCTTTCCGACACAAAGCAAGTAATTGTGAAGATTATATCGAGCGTTATTCATTAGTCACCTTCCAATCAACTGTGTCAGAGAGATCTCTGATTTCACAAGATATTTGCTCAACTTGGCTAGAAGATGGCACATAACACCTAAAGGAAGAGCTTCGTGCTCTTGATAATAGTTTCTTCCTCTCTCCCTTGGATAGGATTATCCGTAGTAACCACCATACCTGCTAGTCTGCATTTGCTTTCTTATTCAAAAAGGCCTCCACTCCTCTGCCAGTTTGTTGTCCTGTGATGGCTTGTGTGTTGCTGTGAGTCTGGAAGCCCCACTACTGGTATTTCACATGCTAGCACGGTCCCCCATGGAGGGCAGGTTCCAGTTGAGCTTCCAGACTAAGACCAGAAAGCAAGCCTGGCCAACCACCCACTTCTGATATGCTGGACCATTGAAGAGTCATGGAGCATTTGCTGACTCCTGGAAGATGGAGTGCTTTCATATTGGAAAGCACTCAAAACACAACCGGGAAAAGAATAACTCCACAAAGGAGCGCCTCCATTGATGATGTCGTTGGAGTAAAGCTTTGCCCCAATGAAGGCCTCCTGTTTACTGATGTGGCACCCTGGCACCGTGAGAGCTTATACACGGCTTACTCAAGGCAGAGATTGTGAGCATGGCATAGGACAAGGCAGGGTTTTGGTTTACCATGCATAAAGTCTATTTGAATAAGAGCAGACCTGAGAGGACCCCGCAACAGCATCCAAAAGTGCTTGATTTCCAAAAGGAGTAATCTACTGTGTAGTCAGTATCTTCCTGCTATCTCTGTTTTCCAGGTGGACCTGTTACCTGGTGTTAAGGCCTCCATAACTAGCACCATTAGCCAACTTTGTGCACAGATAAAAAGCTCACTTTCAAATACTAAGGACGCTGGTCTGTGGGCTGTGTGACTCGCTGTAGCCTGTGTGTCAGGACCGCCACCTCTGGATCACAGAGTAGCAGCCTTGTTCTCAGTTACCATTGCACTCTGGAGCCCCTGCTGGACACGCTCCCCTGTGAAGCAGTGCTCCACGTCTCAATGGAATATCTGAGAAGTGTGGCTTCACGTCCTCTCACGCTTGCTGTTCTCTCAGTTCCAGAAACCACCAGTGGTGTCTGAGGTTTCCTGTAACCAATTTATTGGTTAATGCCTGCAAGTGTTAATCCCTTTTATAATTTGATGTACTTGCATTTGTGATTCTTGTTTGCTGTAGAATTTGAACTGACCCACAGCTGACCTTCCTGTGCGTTTTCAGAGGCAGTTAATCGCACAGGAGGAGCTTGCCCATCCTTGTCCTGCGCAGCAGTTGGTGGCCTTGAACTGATGCCTTTGGGATTGCAGCGCAGCTTCTTGTCAGTAGGCTACCAGAGCTCCCTACCTGTATCTGGAATTAATAATTAACAATAAAAATGAAACCATAGTGTTAATAAGATATGCTTCTCATGTTGGTTTTTTTCCCCCCATAAAGTGAAGAGAGAAGGTGTTTGTTTGTTTGTTTTTCAGTAGCAATTGGAAAGGCAGATGCTAGTGTATGTTGAGAAGATTTGAGGATCCCTGGTTGGGCTAATGGATAGGGCATCGTATTGCCAACTCAAAGGTGGGGGTTCAAATCCACCAGCTTCTCCAGGGAAGAAAGATGAGCAATCTCTTTTCATTCAATTTATAGCTGCTGAAAATCTAGTGGAGGGCCAGCTATGAGTCAGTTCTGATTCATTGGCAATGAGCTAGGTTGAGTTGCTGAGGTGGGTGACCCAGGTCTCAGCTTCTTGCACTTGGTGTGTCTTGAAGCTACTCTCTTCATGTACACTTGTGAAAAAACTAGAGTAGGATACCTGACCTGTGGCAAAGGTGCTGGAGTGCAGGCAGATGCCCAGAGCTACGTGCATCAGCTACACATGTGCACTAAAGAGTGAGTATATGCAACAGAGCTGAGACTCCTCAGCAGATGGCAGAGACAGGAGCCACGGGGACAAGAAGGGGAAGAACTTACATTGAACTGAATCTGGGCAAAATCTCCAGCGCTGCTCTGCAGGATGTTGTATGTTGAGGACACTGAAAGAAGTTCCCACTCACTGTCATTCAGAAATGACTTTTTGTCATGCTCCATGTCCTCTCTGCTCCTCAGGAAGGCCAAATCGACATCTTCCACTGTAAACAACAGAAACTACTTAGTTCCATGGAAAGAAAAAGGCCAATCCACTTTTCCAATTCAATAATATGAATCCTTCCTTTCACTTCCACCCCTGCCCCCCCCCCTGCAGTCTTCCTTGGATTGGGTTCAGTACAGCCATGTGGAATGAAGGCAGGAAAGGGGTAGAAATCTTTCTTGCTATAATTAAAAAAAAAACAAACACCAAATACAACAAAACCCTCTGGATTTAGGGTTTGGATTCAACTATCCATAAAATGATGGAATTGGTGCTATGACTTCTGTAACATTCTCAATGGCAGGGGAGCCGAATACATTCTCAAATCAACAGCAGTAATGGGCCATATATCTGTACACAACATTTTATTTGGTCTGATTTATGGGAGAAACTAAATAGCTGCAAAAAGAGGTTTAGGTTTTCTAAAAAGTCAATTATGGGGAAAAATAAAATAGACTTGATAGATAGTGTAATACAATTTTACCTGTGTGCACCTACCCTGCATAGGTGTGCTTTGATTAGCAGCCTGGTCTCTCATGGCTCACCTGTGTGTAGAATGCTGCTGAAGGTTAGGCTGCAATTCTGGATGTCAAATGGGAACGCATATGTCTCTAAATTGCATGCAGACACCACCTGGATGAGCTTAGTGTTCCTAATGGTCCCAGATGAGTTCACATACACATAGGGAAAGTCAGGTGAGCTTTCAATGTCCACGCTATAGTAAAGAAAAGAAACTTGTTGTTACAGAGAAGTCACCAATCATTTCACACCATAAGCAGAACATACTATGAGATGGCAGGGATCATGACTCCAAAGCCTACTCTAACACTTCAGAGGTATAACTGCACTTCCTGTGAAATGATTAGCCATGTCAAAGATGGGGATTGACGTTGACAGCAAGTTTACTCACTTAATATCATTATAACCTAGACTAATCTATAGGTGGCAAGAAGCTGAGCTGTCATCCAAAAGGCATGTGGTTCGAGACCATCAGCTACTCCAAGGAAGAAAGATGGGCAATCTCCTCCTGTGTGATTAACTGCCTCTGGAAACCCATTGGAGGGTCAGCTATGGGTTGGTTCCAACTGTACAGCACACAACAACAAGGCATAGGTAACCTCAAGTGTCTGTAGATGCTCATGGTATATCACTCCTTCATTTCCCCCCAAAGTTTGTTGGTTTTATGGTTCAGAAACAAAAGTTTTGTTTCAGAAACAAGTTCAAAGAGAAGCAAACAAAAGATAGCAACATTGACTGTCAGTAGACTACAGTTGGTGACTTGAGAATTTGAAAGCAATGTAAACCCCACAGGAATCCACCCAGGACACTTACAATTCATTAATGATGATATCAGGGGCCCAGATGGCACTTAGAGGTAAGGAGATCTCTCTAATCTCATCAAACACACTGGTGTTCCAGGATAAAAACTCATCATTCCAAACCTGTCAAGAGCAGCCAAAAAGGATGTGTGTCATAAAGGGGCAATGGCAGTGTCATCAATGAACTGAAGAGAAATTAGCAACTTGATTGATCATTCCATTGGTAATGTGTTAGTGAGGAGAAAAGACTTTCATGTTATTCCTGAAGATGGTATCCTAACCAGAAACAATAGGCATAGATCTTTAATATATCCTAGTAAACTTGTGTAGTAAGAATGTTAATAATTTTATTACTACTCATGTAAGATGTGTAGCACTACAATACACAGATAAAATCTATTCTGTTGTTGTTGTTATCTGCTGTTGAGCTGACCATGACTCACAGCAACACTATGGACATCTGTTTCTTAGAGTAACTAAGTAATTTTTAACTGATTCAAATCAGGAGTCCAGCATGCACAAAGGAGACATATTTACTCACCTCTCGGTACCATATGCTTGTCTTTAATTTTTGATTCTGTGCATCCTGCAGAGAGAAAACCCACACCAATTCTTAGAATGTCAATAAATCAAAGGCCAATTTGACAGTATGATAATTCAGGGGAAGAAAATAACATTTAACCAAATAATCCTGATTTAAGACTCATTACCTTGACTCTTCCTGAGTATTCTCAGCTCCTGTTTATTATTCACACCTGTCGCTATGAGCACTGCTGTATTATCTATGACAAAATGGCACTTTGACTGCGCTTGACATCTGGAATGATTTTCTAGTCTCTTAACATTCTAATTAGTTACTCTGTCATTAATCAGACTGAAAAATTATATGAAGTCTTACCCAATTCTGGGATAAAAAAAATGATACCAAGTTTTTATTTGTAATCAAGATATTATTCATAATCTTTCAATGAGCATCATCTCAACTACTGTTGGCAGCCATTTCTGTCAAGTTACCCCATGCTCAGATTCCCCTGCTTATCAAAAAGAATGAATGATGCAAATGTATATTTTTTGGATGATATATTAGATGGATAGAAAGCAATGACATATATCTTATTATGTATTA